GGGTCGGTACCTCACATGAAATTTTCCGCCCGATCGATTGAGACTGGTCTGAACTTTCCCCGATTTCCCAATTTCCCACAGTAGCGCTTTTCCGAAAATTTTCCAACCAAAAAATGCATGTGTTCTGTGCATAGTAATAGTTTGGTGCGTGGGGTAACTTTTCTAAGACTTGTGGTAATCATACTCTTCACCAATAGATAGCACAAACCTACCACATTTTATTTCTGTGTGTTCAACATACCTTCAATGCATGAACAATCAATTCGTTCACTTGTGGGTAGAAATGTTTTAATGGGAAATCCAACAGAGCTATTTCGAGTTCCCTTCTGCACATGGCATCATCGATATTATCCATTGCAGTGATATAGTTGCCAGTGATCGTTGACTCGGACGCTGTATGATTGTCAAGTGTTGCATTCGACACTGTGTCGTGATCAAAATCGTCCAGCATTTTACGTGCATCTTTCAAAGAGAACCGCCGAATTCGTTGGCTAATATCTAAATCAAGCGTTGATTCATTGTGAACTGGTGACATTGGAATTTTTTCCTCTTCGATACTGTTTCGACTTTCTTTGAAGATCAACAGTTGACAAAGCAGAAATATAATCGAAATGGAGTTGTTGCGATTGGTTTTATGGCCATTTCGGCCATAGTTTGATGTCATCTCTCGTATGAAGCGCAAAAAATCCGCCAATTTCGATATGATCTCATCGAAATGATATTCAACGGCTACTTCGGGTGAATATGAGCCAGCCGTTTTGCAAACCAATTCAACAATCTCAATCAAAATTAGGAAACATTCATTCACACTCGCCTGAAATATTCATTCGGAGACGCTGATAAAATGATATTTCGATTAAATAGTGTTATTGTATTTTACCAAATCGGAATCAGCATAAATATTCCGCAAAAAATCCAAGACCGCATCGAATGTTTTGTAGCAATAGGATCCAATTGTGACTTGCTGTTTGGTTGTATGCTAGAATTTGGAAGATGATTTCTGTTAGATAGATTTCATTCGAAGGATGATTCTTTGGGAAAACATTTTTTTAAATAATTTTCTTCGGAAAAAATGCTTTTTTCTCCCAAAATATCAAAAGGGTTCATGTTTACCTCTCGCTTAGCGACATATAAGGACGAAACTCTTCGCATGGTAATGCGTCGTGTCAAATTTTGTGTCAACTTCAGGCAACACGTTAGCGCCGACGTGTAATCAAAATTCTCTCTTTCGCATTCAATCAATTGCAGGAGACCCTAAAATAGATTTGCGATACATTTTCATACTATAGAACTAAATCAAAATGCATTTATGATCCATGACGCATTAAACGATCATTTGGAAATGATCAAAATATAAAAACCCAAACACACAGCGCACAATATCGAAGGCTTACCATGAACACAAATGGTGATTGAAGGAAGAATTCGCCGGGAAAATCTTTGATGCGATGCTGAAAATACTGTAACGCATGATCAAGTTCATTCTGATTGCTTTTGATAGACAATGATGATTTCAATGATGATAGCTCTTGTAATTCCCTTTGACCCGCGACTTCCCATGCCATTTCAAATCGTAATCCATCGGCACTACACCTGAAATTAGAATTTGATACGACCGAGTATATTGCGAGTGAAATACTCAAAAAATGTGGCAAAATTTCGTTACTTGATCAGAAATCTTACCTATTTTCATTAATGTCTTTAAATTTCCATGTTGCACCGATGTCTGGAGTTTTTGGTGTTTCACAATTGTCATTGTTGACTTCAGCTCTCGTTTGCTTTGGATATTCCAGCTTATGGGCGTTTAATATTTGAATAATTTCGTCATAATAGCTCTTACTGATCGGATCAGTAGCAAATACTCTGATTCGATTGAGATCACCACGCTTTCCATATTTGCTCAATATACGTACAGCATCAGATTGATACTTACTCTGTAATTCAAACGAGTTTGCATGCAAAAAAAAAAACAAACAAACAATGATCAAAATGTACTGAATAAACAGAGTAAATCTCTGTTGTTACTCTTTTTTGTTTGAATTTTTTCATCGTAAAAACAGCTTTGGTTCGCAAATCCATTTTCAATAATGTAATTGACCGACTGCTCACAACACGTAAGTGTCCAGTGTTCGCTTAGCTTGCTATCAATTGAACCTTATAAGTGCGTATTTAGCTGTGAGTGATTTCAATTGAAATGCGAGGGGCGCGTAACAGTCAATTTAATACAAAAAACCTGTTGTGTGAGTGTGATGCATGGGCGATAAAATCACATCGAATATTCATAGCTTTTCTATTTTAACCAGGATTTATCTCTCGCAACTCAATTTAAGATACAAATCGTTTAATTTTGAAGAAAAAGATTTTTCATCATATTTGAATGAAAAAAAGAAATCGTTAAAAACACCATTGTTTACCTTAAGAAGTGCAAGTAAAATGTCAAAAATTTGCTTAACATTGGTCACCGGTTGATAATCGAACCATTTCAGTAGGCGTTTAACCAAATCATTCACGTCGACGGCAAGCTCCTGCAAGTCGGTGCGACAACTTTGGAATTTTGACTGGACATTTTCGATTGCACGTGCGCGTATCTCTGGGATTTGGTGTTCTGTGCAAGCGAGAAATAGAAGTGCAAGTGCGTATTAGTATTACAGAATGAATGACAACTATGCTAAGTAAGCTGAAATCTGAGTCGGATTCATTTTTTTCACGAGCACTGATTTGTCCGTTAAAATGTTCTCAATAAATGATAATTATCTGCATGGCATTGCTTAAACTCACCTAATTTTCGTAAAGTGTCCGAAGAAATATCAATCGACATATTGTTGTCGTATACAGTAAACGGTATTTTTTCAAATGGTTTTCCTCAAAATACACCAAATAGATCGATTAATATTGTTTTCACCATTATTTTATCGAATTGTTTCACAATTTGTTCATACACAATCCGTTCATGTCGCAATAATTCATTGGAATTTCAAATATTTGTCCACAAAAACACCGAACCACACAATAATAAAATTAAAACGCATAAATTTCAAATGATTGGAACGACTGAAAGTATTTGTCAAACTTCGATTTGTTTGCTTTCAGTGGATGAGTGAGTGAGTTTATCTAAGTGTATTAGCGCGTTTTCTTGTGCAAGTATTCAACGACAGCTGCGCCACTACCATCGGTATCTTTGTGCATTGGTTTTTCTGTTGGTTTTGGTGCGGTACAGACGCTTCCTTCCAAATACAATAGGTGGCGCCACAATTCAGGCTCGATTTTGACATATTTTCAATGTTTAGCATAACCTCCAAAAATTGTTGGTTCTGCTTGGAAATTTCTGACATAAAAATCACATTTCTTTGCTAAAGTTTTTAATTTCATTTAACCGACACGATTTTTTTTTTTATCAATTACCCAAAAAAGTGACCCATTTGATTTAAGAAAATGCATTTATTGCGTCAAGTCATTTGCAATCGTCGTGCTGCCACACATGTTGGTAAATACGTTCGTGGTTTTGTTTCGACCACAAATGTTCGACCGTCAGCTGAAGCACTCACAGTACCAGCACCCGATGGCAGTGAAACACCAGCAAATCCAAAACTTTTGAAAATTGTCAATGACATCGCCGCTTTAAATCTCTTGGAAGTATCGGAATTATCGTCATTGCTTAAGAAAACATTGAATCTTCCGGATGCACCGGCTGTGGCCTATGGAGCTGGCGCTCCAGCTGCAGCAGCACCGGCAGCCGAAGAAGAAGAGGAGGCCGGACCAGCCGTTATTCAAACATTATTCAAAGTAAAACTCAACAGTTTCGATGAATCAAAGAAAATCGTTCTAATTAAAGAGCTGAAAAACCAATGCGAAGGCATGAATTTGGTTCAAGCAAAGAAATTCATTGAATCAGCACCGGCATTCGTTAAAGAGGATTTGTCCAAGGATGAAGCTGAAGCGCTAAAAGTCGCTCTAGAAAAATTCGGCGCTGTCGTTGAAGTCGTGTAATGGGAAGCGTGGAACAATTTACTGTACTATGTTATTCGACATTTAAGTTTTTTTAGGTACAATTTTTTGTTTTTTTTTTTGAAAATAATCGAGAAGAAAAACACACACATAAACATGAAATAAAACGTTTCTTGGTAGCATAAAACAAATTGATCATTTTTTTCATTTAGAGAGAGAATTTCTTGGTTTTGTTGGAATTTTTTTTTTTGTTTCATAATGAAACTTTCATTGCGGCTGTTCTGCAGAATTTTGATAAAAATTTTGGAGTTTAGCTCAAGTCTTCAGAAGAAACATCACACTTTTATTGGGAGACATCCTTTTTTCTTTCAAGAAAAGAAAATGTTCTTCCACGAAAATCCATTTTCCTTTGCCGCTGAATACTGATTGTGCTTAACAAATTCTCTTCTTGTTCAAGTGTAAACTCATCTCTTCTTATTTGACCAGAAAGAAAGTTCAAACATGCACGACATTTTTTGTTTAACTCTTCAAATAAATTCCGTTTTTAGTACATCACTTTCTTTTATTGGTTCAGCGACCGTGCATTACCTACCTTTCTCACATTGCCTGTCTCCATTCAATCAGAAAAGAACCATGACTTACCTCAGAAATATCAGTGATCGGATCAAAACTGACCTGAAAATTATGTTTCATCACATTCAATGTGAATACAATTCTATCAATTGTAGATTATCATCAGGACCAACGTGGTATAATCAAAATAGATCTTCTTTCGTGAATTATTTTGGTTTGAACTGAACGGAAGCAGTAGATAAATAAGAGATGAAAATTATGTGGAGAAAAAGAGAAGATGAGAATGATCAACATGAATAAATGAATTGAATTCAAATGATTGGATTGCAAAGCAAAAATAAAATACAGTTCAACCGGAGAGTACTTCATTACCGACATCCCAATTAGGTGTCACATGGTATAAACAAATCAAGTAAAGAGATTCAAGTGGTGTATATTTTCAAACTTGGGTCTATGTAAAAATTTCAATTTCCCGAGTTAAAAATGAAACCAAATCACACTCATTATTCACACAAAAAGAATCCAAATTTGGAGGTAAACAAAAGGCAATACAATCATCAAACACTTTGACGGAGTTTTTTTTCGGTTTTTTTTTTCATAAATTTATTTTGTTTTCATTGTTTTCATCATCATTTTTTCCAGCAACTTTAGATTGATTGTTGGGGTGTTGTATGCGCGTGTATGTGTATAGTTTTTTTTTGTTGTTTTCCTTCATTGTAAGAAAAATGTTATGCGAAAACAAATAGAAAAAAAAAATTTGTCTGTGTGTTGCCATTATGGATGATACGCACGTTGACATCGCGACCATGATGAGATAACAAACAGCAAAATTATTACGATGTCTACAAGAAGTAGGTTTGTGGTTTACGGTATGAGAACAATGCACGCGATCCTCGGTGGTGTACTCGTTGCACAAGTGGGAATCGGATCTTTGAATCGTGGAATTGTTTAACACCAACACGTCTGCATTTGGCGGCGGCGATTGGTTCCACTTTGATGATCTGTGAATTGAGAGCAGCAGAAAATTCGGCGCCAATAAGTTATTTGTTTTCACTTTCAGGGCAATGTTTGCATGTGGAAAACAGGGGAAAAAAAAGAATACTCACTTGAATGGAATGAGCACGAGCACGATGACGAGCGCCCATATCACGGTAGCACTGTGTAACTGCACCACCAACGGTTAAATCACGGTATTCACGGTACATGTTGTGTGTACCTGAACGCGAATCATAACGCAACCAGATGCCGAAATTCTTGATTTTGGTTGGTGAGGTTTCGTAGACTTGTTTCAATGAAACAATTTCACCGGTGGTTTTCTTGAATTTGTTCAATTGACGCAAGAAATACCAGAACCGTGATTTGGCTACAATGTTATCCGGTGCGAAAATTCTCATTTTGTACAGCGGAGTGGATGGTTCTTTTTCGGTTGGCAATTTACGGCCGATAACCTCGTACTCCTTCAACTGGAAATCGAAATAGAAGAGAGAGAAAGGAAAACGTTTTAATTGAAAAATTCAATCAAATACATGGTGAACATGTAAAATCTATAGGATTCATGGTCGCATGCAATAATATTTCATTCATTTTTTTGTGAGGTTAGAATACACAAACCCAATAACACAAGGTATTGTCTCAATACAATTGGTTCAACACATTTTACATTGTCTGAACGAATTATTGAATTTTTGTGAATAACTCATGGGAAAAATCGAATTTTCATTTTCACGTGTTCAACAAGAGAGTGTTAAATTGTGTTTGAATTCAATGTAGTTAAACCGAATGTATCACTAAACGTCAAACTGGGCATGTGGCCGAATGTGTGCACAGACAATTGGTACAAACGAACACACTTTAGAACATGATTTTCCGTAGAATTTTCGCAAAAATGCAACCGAAGAATCCAAAAATTTCACCGTGCATATTTGTTTAAAACCATTTCGATCACATTAAACTAAACCACCGCATTTATTTTGGTAATTTTTCGAAAAAATTAATTTACCTGTCCTTTAGCCTTCATTTTTGCTGTGTTTCAACACTGTCACGGAAACGGAAAGAAAGAAAGAGCTCAATTTACTTTGACTTTTCTACAGCCGTTCACTGTGAAGAACGTACGAATGGATTTTGATCGATGTACGATGCAGTACAGCCAACACAATGGTGGGCAAATTTAGGCCGCATGTGACAGTTTGCTCATGCCGTTCTCAATTAAATTGAATCAATTTATGGTGGATTTTTTTTTGTAAATGTAAAAATTTAATGGGATTTCTCAGGATAATCATCGATGGAGTTGCAATTTTTTAGATTTTACATTGAAAAAAAATCGACATAATGAACGAATGAACGGATTCAACGGCATGAATCAACCGAAAAAGCAACGATACAATATTTACACTACACGGTTGGCAGTGCTGTGAGTCGTTGAGTACGGTGAGATGCGATGTGATGCGTTTTCTCCGTCTCTCATTCATTGTGCCATATGTTGTTTGGCTCTATGAAGTGCATGTATACGGTTGACAAGCGTCAATCCACTGGTGGTGTGTAATATAGGCATAAATGCGCTAAAAAAACACAACGTTTCGATTCTCTTGACATAAAACGGCTGCCAGTAGCGCGCGCTCAGTGTTTGTGCGTTGAATTTGAGTAAATTGTGCATACAGTTGATTACGAATGCGTTGAATTTTCATTGAAAGAGAAAAAAAACCCAATAACCAACCAAAGAGTGGAATATGTAGAGAAGCGGCAAAGCGGTTGATCCGAGTGTATGTTCATATGTATACGTATATATATGTATGTGTGTTTTTGTCTGGTCGTTCGTTCGTTCGTTCGTTTTTTCTTCATTCGTCTCTCGTAACAAATATCTCTCGTCGTTGCCTATCGCACCTCAATTTAAGTAGTTAAATGTGCATTTATGTGTGAATGGCGGCTGCTGTGTTGCTGTTGCATATCTACACAAATACAAGCATAGAACGCGAAACAAATCAACACACGACATCACCATTTACGACCGTTTCGTAGTATTCGTAGTCGCTGTCGCAACTTGGGTTTTTAGTGCATTTTCAACTGGAATTCTTTATTTTCATAAAACACAACGGAGCGCTAGAAAAATAAAACAGTGAAGAAGGGCAGGAAAAAACAAACTAGAACCAAACAGCAGCAGCACGCACAACACACCAGAAAGCAATAACAGAAAATAAATTCTTTTCCCATTTAGTTTTTTTTTGTTTGTTTTTTTGTTTGTTTCAAAAGTTGGAAATATTTCGTTGAACGCGCGCGTATTGTGAGTGAGAGTGAATCGTTGTAGCAGTGAGAGAAGAGTGCATGCCATATATCCAATTGGGTGGGTGTAATTAACTCAACTAGAACTTTTTTCAATATCATTTTGATTGGTGTTCAAACTTAGGTTTTGTTCATCACCACTGGTGGTGGTGGTTGTGCATTGTGGATTTTTATACATATGCGAATATAAATTGTGCAACCATACACTGAAGACAGCGCGCGCGAATAGTACATTCAACTCAACGTTGTTGTGCATCGATCACATTTCGGTTGTTCTTTATTCAGTTCTTTCGATGTGATTTGTTTTTGTTGTGGACTTGACGGTGGATTTAATTAGTGTGCGTGCATTTGAATGTTGTGTCTTCTTTCTTTATAGATTCATTCAACCGACCGACCGACCGATCGAACGACCAACCGACACAAACAAACAGCACAACGGCGAGAGACGAAGAACTGTTGAAGAATTGCCGACCAAACCGCAGCGACAAAGAATTCGAAGAAAAACATAGTAATCACTCACAACAGACACACAATGTGCCTCATTAACATGGCAACCTGAACACTATATCGGAGTCATAGTTGCCTATGCAATGCGGACGAAATAGCAAATCGAATGCTTTGAACGACGATTACTCTTTGCCAATGAGTGCGTGTTTTTATTTCAGTTTTCACCTATTTTTTCCCCCCTTTCTTCAGTTCAGTTCAGTTTAAGTTAATCCTTTAAGTTTTCACACTGCCTTCGAATTGATTCTACGCAAAACGTCTTCGAAAAAAATAACAGAAACTCACACCAAACGTCTACGTAAATATCGAATAACATATGCATACACATTTAAGAAATCATAAACAAAGTATAAATCGATTCGTACTGCACTGCACTGCACTGTTGTTTACGCAGACCAAGCGGGAGTGTGATTTTTTATTTCGATTCTACACCGTATTAAGTATTTCTAAAAAGGAGAAACCATTGAAAGTCAAACAAAACAACAGCGAGAAGAAATTGTTCAGAACGTATATTCAAAGGAGAACACAGAAAAAAGATAACAAAAATGCCTATCAAACGAAAAGATCGCGAGAACAGTAACGAAACAAATTGTGTGAAATCCTTTCGAATGGATCACATACCAACCGACCATGAGCTTTTCTTACAAGCCTTTGAAAGTGAGTAGTTTGGCGTTTTTTTTCCCCTTGTTTGCTGTCGTTTCGAATTTTGTTCAATCATACGTTGCAAACATACGAATTTCGTCTTGATTCTAAACATTTTCATCATTCATTCAACAGAACCAACTCAGATTTATCGATATCTCAGGAGTCGAAACAGGTTATCGGTAAGAGTTTTATCACTTTAGACACCTCCAACGATGAGCCACAATCATAATTCATTTGGTATTTGTCCCATTTTAGCCGATATTTTTACATCGAAACCTAACGTATATGAAGGAACGCATGTCTCGAAATCACAATACTCGACCAAGATTTAGTGTGAATAATTTATTGGATACCATTACCAAGCGTAACACATTGGAAGAGGAGAAAAATTGTGCGCCAAATAACTACATGACATTGTTATTTCTGGGTTTCTACAATAAACTGATGGTCGAAGAGCAATATGTTGAAGTGGAAATTGTTGTGTCGAAAATCGCGCAAATGAAACGCAAAGACAGCTTCAAATCGAAACAAGATCGTGTAAGTATAGTAAAATCGTTGAAAAATAAAATTAACCAGATGGGATACATGGGTTTAATGGAATAATGTTTTGATTTCTCTTTCTCATCAATCGACAGCTTGGTTCTGCCATTGTCAAAGTAAATCCAGTGGATATGATAGGAAAAGTGCCGGCAGTTAGCGTACCGACTGAATTATTCAAACCAGCTGGAACTGGTTTACTTAACAGTTCATGCATATTGCAATTGAACACCACAGTTTTACCACATTTCAACTCTTCGAACGGTAAATCTAATTTTCATTGAATTTTCTTCTTATTAAATTGAAGGCTCCAAATCGAATCCAGATCGACATTTTCACTCACGATTTCTATGTTCATCAATTCTTCTTCATCATCTTCTCCCACTTTTTTATTCACAGAACCCGTAATCAAATCCGATCAGCCTGCCCGATGTTTTGAAACGGAATTGGTGATATTTGACAAACACAATCGATGCACATTAAGCGATGGCGAATACGAGCTAACGCTCACCGAATGTACGAATACAGCTACACCAAAAATTTATTCACCAAAAAAGCATCCAACGTGGGAAGAGATACCCGAGCATTGTTTAGACGAATTTAATAAAGGTGAAAATCCATTGGATGATTTTACGAAATGTCCAACACTGAAATTTAGATTATCGTGGACCAAAGACAAATATACCGATATGGTTGATCGACCGTTACCGATAACAATTCGCAAAGATGATTTCATGACAAATGCCAAGGAGAATGGCAGCGGCGGTGGCATCGCATTGAATCGTAGCGATTCGGTTACATCGAGTGAATCGAATTGTGTAATGAATGGGAATTGTACAAGTAATAAAACAACCAAAACATCATCAGCAGTGGCGGTGGCATCAGTAGCAACCGCACCGCAAGCCAATCCAAATGCCGGTGCAACGAGTAAAGCGAATACGAGTATGAGCATGAGCGCAAAAACACAAGTGGCCATTAATAGCAATGGGATTAGTCAATCGATGATTGTTAAGCTACACGATATTGCCTCACGAATCATCTACCATTTCATTTACAATAACAATTCTAGCCAACAAACCGAGACATTTGACAATTTCAATTGTCCATGGTGTTGTTTGCATTGTCTAAATCTGTATTCGCTGTTAAAACATTTGAAATTGTGTCATGCCCGTTTCAATTTCACCTACGTACCAATGCCGAATGGTGTTCGGGTTGATGTGTCGATAAATGAGTTATTCGATGGCTCGTACATTGGTTCACCGCACGATTTGGTGGGACCGGCTGGATCGGCATTTGCCAGAGCTGGCCCAGTACGGAGACCGGTTGTGACGCGCATCTTGGTGTGTCGACCACGACGGCCAAGGCATTCGTTGACTGAATTCCTGGAAATTGACGAAAACGAACTGAACAGCCAACGCCCATATGTCACCGGACACAATCGACTGTATCATCACACAATGACCTGTTTGCCGGTGCATCCAAAGGGATTGGACATTGATTCGGAAGGCGAAACCGATCCGGCCTGGTTGCAACACAAAACCATGCAAATGATCGACGAATTCACCGATGTCAATGAGGGCGAAAAGGAACTGATGAAAATGTGGAATTTGCACATCATGCGAAATGGTTATGTTGGCGATATTCAAATACCGTTGGCCTGCGAAATGTTCCTCGATATGAAGGGCAAAGAATTGTTGCAGAAAAATTTGTACAAAAATTTCGTACTGCATCTGTGCAATTTCTTTGATTATGGCCTCATTTCACCCGAAACCCTGTACAAAACCATTCAAAAACTGCAACGAATCTTGTCCACGTACAACGATGGCCGTGATGTAATGGTTGACGAACACAAGAAGCAGTTACACTACTGGCACACCGTTGGTGTACACAAACAAAGGGATCTACATTCTCAACCGGCACAACCGAAAAATATCGCATCAAGTACAAACACATACAGTTTCCGCAGTGCTACACATGCCAAACAAAACGATAGTGATGATGACGATGATGATGACGAGGAGGACGGTCCCAGATCACCGAAAAAAAGAGCTGGTAAGTCTAACTAACTTCTTTGAATGCTTGTTCATAATGAAGTTAAAACCCGAACGAATTTGACCAAAACATTTCTCTTCTTTCTAATGAAATCTCTTGATTCGATCCATTGCAGGCCGAAGCCAGTCCGACGACGTCATCCGTGATGGAGATCGAACGGACAATAAGCATAAAAAGAATTCACAAACCGATCTCATGCAAAAGTCCCGCAATCAAACGGATCTACGTAATGCAGCCAAAGAAACGGGCAAATCGGAACGAACATCGACCGGAACGAAACGCAAAGCGTTGAATTCACGCAGTGGTAAATATACAAATATGACGATGAATTTAAGAGTTATCGAGACCTAAAATTGATTGGTATTTTCATTCATACAGCAGGGAATTCAACTGATTCGCCACCACGTCGAAGGAGCGCAAGTGCCGCCCTACAAGTAGCCAGCAATAAAGCATTCACAGTGAAACGACGAAATTCGACAGCGGTCGCCCAATCGTCAGCACCGTCAGCAATAAAAAAGGGCAAACGACTTTCGCTTTCGATATCGAAACTCAGTAAAATTGATAAGTAACGGTTGGCAGTTCGTTGAACGCACGATTGTAATTTTTTCGGTCATAGAGCACGATATCGAAAAAAAAAATGTAAAAAAATGAATATTTTCAATTTCAAGAGAGAGGGGATGGAAAAAAAAGATAAAAATCCAACAACAAGTTCAGAAAAAAGGAAAAATTTTGGCAACACACTATTGGCGCCATATATTTGGTCAAGTTTTAGTTTGTATATGTTTCGAAACAACGTACTAAATCACTGCCATATTTTAAATTTTACACACTCGAACACAAAGGATGTTTTTTTTCTTCTAATTTTTCTTATGCGACATTCAATTCATTTTCATAGCGCACATAATCGAGAGAGAGTGAGAATTGAACTTTTGCGTTGTTGTTTTATTTTTCGCCAAACTTTTTAAATTTTTTACAATTATTTCCGTTTTTTTTTTTAAATTGGTGAAAATGAATTGTTGTCGCCATTTTTGGATACGAATGATTTCATATTGAAATTGGCGTGGAATAAAATTAAAATCATTTAAATACAGGAATTGGCTAAGCATTGGTACAACAAGCAAATGAAATTTCGTTTTTAAAAGAAAAAAATTTCACAAAAAATTGAAATCATCACATGAAATAAATTAAAATGAAGCAAAACAAAAAACGAGAGAGAGAGAGAGAGAGAGAGAGAGAGAGAGAAAGAGAAAGAGAGAGAAAACAAATGGTTCGAAATAAAAATGTATGAAAATCATGTCATCGATGATATAATCATTAGTCGATATATACGAAATATGAAAGTAATGCAAATAGTAAAGGAATTTCAACGAAAAATGACCGCTTTTATTATTATTTTTTTTCCTATTTTTTTTCTACAACTTTCACATATATGTGTTCATTCAGTATATGTCGAAGTGTTACAAACCTTCATGATTCGTCTTTTCTCTTTTTCTTTTATTTGTCCTCGCAGATATAGTTGTATTTAAGCACCGCATAAAATATTGTATATTTTAGATTTGTTTATGCCGTTTTTATTATCTTTATTTCTATTTTTTTTCCATTTTAAATCAGACGTTCGCATTTGCATTGCCTAGGAAGCAGCATGTTTTAAGGCACAGCATTAATGCTAGCATATCGATGGTTGCAACAGCGACGCATACACGGATCTCGCGCTCACAAAAGCCGCACACACATCTCTCGTGCTCAGTAGCCGTCGCATCAACAAACATACACACGCATACAACAAACGTTGCGTGATATATATACGTTTGTTGTATGCGTGTGTATGTTTGT